CACCTCAGAATTTGACTTCAGCACTGCGCCTCCTCTGAGTGTCCGAATGCGTTACTCTTTCCTCCTAATTGTAGGACTTCCACTCAGCCAGCGTTCCTGTGGTTCTGGATGATGTCCGTTCCGTCTTAGTTTCACTTTTGAAGTGGTTGTTCGAGGCAGCAAACTCCGGCGTTAACCTATGCCGCCATCTTGGTTCTCTCCCTGGAATGAACAACTTTTGAGTTAAAAATTTATCTTGGATTTTCATCTGTGGCAGTTGTAATACATGTTTGCTCCAGATTGGGTTTTGGGTGTGTAGGGATGGCCTCAGAACCTAGTTTTATGTAAAGCTTAGTGAGCAAAATACACTGGAATATTAACAGTGCATGTCTTAGGGTGGTAGGACTATGGGTAATTATTTTCTTCCTCTCCTTGTTTTGCTTTTTTATGTCACTGTGTGTCTTAGTTCTGGCTACTATAACTAAATACCATTGACTTGCAGGCTTAAACAACAAACATTTGTTTCTCATAGTTCTTCAGACTGGGAAGTCCAAGGTCAAGATGCTGGCTGATTTGGTGTCTAGTGAGGGCCTCTTCCCGGCTTGCAGAGGGATGCCTTCTTGTTGTGTTCTGCATGGAAGAGAGAGCGCACGCAAACTAGCTCTCTGGTCTCTTCTGATAAGGGCACTAATCTCCCCAGAAGGTGTCTACCCTCATGATCTCATCTAAACCTAATTACCTCCCAAAGGAACCCCTTCAAATGCCATCACATTGTGGCTAGGCTTCCACATGGAGTTTGGGGATGGGAGACAAACATTCAGTCCATAGCATGTGACCAATAAAAAGGGCGTGGATTTTACCGTCAGGTGGACCTGGGTTTGAATCCTAACACTGCCACGTGGAAGCTGTGTGACTAGGCACGTTATTTTCCCCATATGGAGACTGGTGTATTGCTGTCAACCTCACAGGGTTGTGGAATCCTTAGATAAAGCAGCCAGTGCAGATTCCCGCTGGGTACTCAGGAACTGTTTTCTCTTATGCACACTCTGCTCTACCACCGGAGAGTTTCAGCACGGTGAGTGCCGAGTGAATGAAGAATGGGACAGGTAATTGGTCGCCTGTGCTTGTGTCCTTTCAGTGATCTGCAGAATGCAGCTGCTGGTTCCTTTGCCTCTGCGTTTGCTGCGCTGGTGCTCTGCCCCACTGAGCTCGTGAAGTGCCGGCTACAGACCATGTACGAAATGGAGACTTCAGGAAAGATAGCCAAAAGCCAGAAGTAAGCACCCCTGGGCACAAACAATAGGTCTCTGTTGCCTTACTGTATTGAGTACTTTGTAATTTCATGTTGTGCTAAAATCAAGTAATAAATAGATAGATTTATCTACTCCAAAATATGGTTTTTCTAGAACCCTTTCCCCTATAGTCACAGGATAATTTTCTAAATGGACAGATATGTAATATCCCACAAGGGAAGAAGCCAGGAGTATCCCCTTTTGGCCTGTTTTGTAAGTAAGGCATGATCTCCAACCAGGATGGGAGCTTTGGTACTGGAGAGCTGAGCCTTCACAAGTGCTCATTTGGAATCGGAGATGAATATTTGCTGCCTGTTCCCAGGATTCACATGGGTGTTCAGGCTGATCAGCCCAGATCCTAGTGCTAACTTCCTTAACCCCGCTCCCTAATCCTTTACATTTACCTACAAAGGGCCCAAGGTCTGAAAACCCACGGAAGCCCCTGTAAACATAGCTTTCTTCAATGGTCAAATGATCACTCTTCAACTCGGTCTTGAAAACAGAGTCTAGTTACCCTGTGAGTAATGGTATGCAATATGATTTATTTGAATCGAAAAGTAATTGATTATCTTTGTTAACCTCAAAATTTGCTTTTTTATTGTAACATCTGGCTGACAGAAGTTCTGGTGGTGGGTATGGCTGTGGCTAACTCAAAGCCTGTAAGTCTGTTGGGAAAAACCAGTAGATAACCATTTTTCATCTCCTCCCAGTGAGGGTGGGGTACGTCACAGAGCCCTGTTTCCTGCAGCCTTGAGATTCATTACAACCAATTTGAATCTATTAGTCATAACCAGAGGTTCAAATGTGTAAGACTTTAAAACGTTTTATTGAAATATATACACTCAGAAATCGTAAGTGTGTGGTTCTATATGTAGCCACAAAATGAACATGCCTTTATAACCAATGGCCAGATTAAAAAATAGAACGTGAACAGCACCCATAAAGTTGTCCTCATGTCCTTTGAAAGTAGTTTAAGGTATTTTTATTTTTATTTTATTTTTTAAAATATATTTTATTGATTTTTCACAGAGAGGAAAGGAGAGGGATAGGGAGTTAGAAATATCGATGAGAGAGAAACATCGATCAGCTGCCTCCTGCACACCTCCTACTGGGGGTGTGCCTGCAACCAAGGTACATGCCCTTGGCCGGAATCGAACCTCGGACCTTTCAGTCCGCAAGCCAACGCTCTATCCACTGAGCCAAACCAGTTAGGGCGGTTTAAGGTATTTTTAAAGAAAGTAATTGTTACATCTGGGTTGTGATTCAATCCCCCAGTCAGGGTACTTATGGGAGACAACTGATCGATGTTTCTCTTTTTCTCTCCCTTCCTCTCTCTCTAAAAATCAATAAAACAACAAAAAAATACCCATGTCTTTGAGTAAGGATAAAAAAAATTAAACTTGATCCATTTAAAAAACAAAACAAAAAACATTGGCCTGAGTGGCTCAGTTGGTTGAGCATGTCCTGTGCACTAAAAGGTTGCAGGTTCTATCCCAGTTGGGGCATATACAGAAGACAACTGATAAATGTTTCTCACATGGATGTTTCTCGCTCTCTCCTACCCTGTCTTCCTCTCCCAACCCCCTCTTTCTGAGCATGTCCTCTGGTGAGGATTAAAAAAAAAAAATCCCTGGCTAGTGCCAATGGTTGTATTAAAAAAAAAAGAAAAAGAAAGTAATTGTTAGAGCCAAAGGACTTTGGCAAACAGACATCTTGCACAAAAGTAACTATTGGGTGACTATAGTGAGGCACAGCAGTGTCCACCCTGGCTAGTGCCAATGGTTAGCGCATCAGCCCATGCACTGAAGGGTTGCAGATTCGATTCCTGGTTAAGGGCACATAGATTACAGGTTCGATCCCTGCCCCATTTGGGGCGCATGTGGGAGGCAACCATTGGGTGACTATAGTGAGGCACAGCAGTGTCCACACAGAGGTATGTGATGCTTTAAGGTTGACTTGGATTGGAAGGCAGGCTAATTGTGTCGAATTGGATTACTTTGTCATGTGCATTACAGAATGAGAGCTGTGTTAGAAGGACCTAGCTAAGGGTAATGCCTGAGGAGCCTTCGGAAGTCCTCAGAGAGAGAGAACCATTAAAAGCAGTGGCCTTTACTAACTCAGGCTTTAATCCTGCATTGGTCCAAGCCAGGTCACCTGATGATAACAAAGTGAGAAGCTAGAGGAGTGTGTGGTTTTTGGTTTCTTGCTGTTTGGCGCGACACAGACTGCTGTAGCACAACCATTAGGAAGAGGAGGAGCCCAGGTGGAAAGTGCCCTGTGTTCTGGCTGCTGCTTGAAATAAAAGCTCTTTCAT